GGTCACGGCCTGTCATCACAAGAGCAAAGATCAAACAGCAATAGATGAGTTGCCACTGAAGTATAGGATCAAACAACTCAGTTCATCTAAAATAAGCCATATGAGGTTAAATTCTGACAATATTTTATATTGAACCAAAAGAAATTCAGAAAAATCTATTTTGATTAAAAAATAGTGCATAGGTCCCCATAATAAAAAAGATAACTCCCCATTTGAACTAGCCTAGCTTATACATCCTGATAAGATGTCATTTCACTATACTTATTTATTTATTTATTAGTTCCCTTTCCACCACATACTGCAAGATATCTTACCTGAACTGTCTTACCAAGACCCATTTCATCAGCCAAAATTGCTGCACGAAAATAACATATAGGTTAATATGACCAGTTTAGATTCTTTGGCGTGCAGAAACAATAAAACATAATAAGAAAAAGCAACTAGCATGGTTATTAACTCAATATTACTTAAACAACAAAACAATGATTTTGCAGAAAAAAAATATTTAACATTCAACTTTAATCCCTTGGTACATTATAGAATAAGCTTTTCATGGGAAATACATGTGGATCTGGCTCCTGTATACTATGGATCTCCTGGTAGTTAATCACATGAATACAGGAATGCTGTTTTTTTTTCTGTTGACCTACCAATTTTCATTGTTCCATATTCAGAGATACCCTACCATTATTTGGGTCTGCTTGTCATAAAATTACAAGAAAATCAAAGGTGTCTAGAAATGTGTTCTCCATCGAGTTCATTTTCATTGATTGAAGATTGATTGCAATTTCACATAACGGAAATCTAAACAGTATAAAGGAATAACAAATAGCAGCATGTTTCCGAAGACAAAAATGGCAGAAATAACAGGACGCTTGCAAGTAAATTTCATGCTATCATGCTAAAGGGTGGAGTGAAGTGAATTACTGAACTGCATAGATCAATTTTATTTCATCGTGGGTGCACTTAAAAAAATCTCAGTCATATGCATCTTTACTGACAATATCATCTAAGGCAACATAAATGATCAAATGCAACAGTTTAAAAAACACCTCCACCGATATTTTTCCGGTGCAAGAGAAGAAGAAAATTGACCCCCACAAGCTGGTAGGGCTTCAGAATAGGCTCAAACTCCGACTCCTCGCTTGTGCATGCAGCATCCACATCATCCTGCTCCGACACATCCATTGAATCAAAACTCCACACCTTCAAGTAGACTGCATAAAAACAGATAAGTACATACCTGGGTAACAATTCGGACACTGGAATCATCTATCTCAGCATAACTCTCACAATTCCTTGTCGATGAGCCATACAGCTCCTGTCGCAAATCAGCCGAAATGCGCGCGCACTTGCGCAATGCCTTACCCACTACATCCCCCTCCTCCACCTCCACCTTCGTCTCACCATAGTCCCCATCTTCATCGTCCTCATTCTCCAACTCCGACCAGTTCACACCATCATCCTCCTCTGCTTCTACCCCATCCACCTCAGACGCACCCACATCCCCGTCGCTGTCATCATCGTCCTTAATCACGAAACGGCGAGCGGTGGCTCGACGCGGCCTCGTTGGCCTTGGGTCTGGATGGTCAAAATCATCATCAGCGAGCTCTAAATCGTCGTCTTCCTCCGAGAGGTCGGCGACGGCGGTTGCCAAGCGCCGACCAGCGGTACGGCGCGGACGCGAGGTCCTCGAAGAAGGGATGTCGAAATCATCGTCTTCGAGATCAAAGCCGTCGTCGTCGTCATCGGAAACCGACACCGCGGCGGCGGCCTTGGCGGGTTTAGGGTTGTAGCGGAAGGACTCGCGGGGCGGAAGGGCCCGCCCAGGGGGGCTGTGCTGCCGCTGCGGACGATTGAGCACGCGGGTGCTCTTCCCGGCGCGGCGCAACCGCTCCTCCTCACCAAGTTCGAAATCGTCGTCGTCGTCGGAGAGGACGACGGTGGCGGTGGCGGCGGCGGCGGCGGAGGAGGAGGAAGGCCTGGGGTTGTAACGGAAGGAGTCGATGGGCGGGGGAGGCTGCGAGTCCGGCTGGGCGCCTCGGCTTGGTCGCTTGAGGACGCGCGAAGGCTTGAAGCTGTGGTTCGACCACTCGTCGTCGTCGATCTCCTCGTAGCCTCGCCGCATCGGGGCGGCGGCTGCTTCTGCGGCGGCTGGTGGGCTAGGGTTTTGGAGGAGGCGGAGCCAAGGGCGGAGGCGAGGAGGCGGTGGTCGGGGAGCGCGAGAATTTGGGGGGAGAAGGCGAGGGGACGGAAATTTTGGGCGGCCTCCGAGGAGTGGGAGAACTGGAGCGCCGCCGCGAAGAGACCGCCAACAGATGCTTTTCCGGAAGAAGGGTGATTCGTTATAAACTTTCCCTTAAAAATGGGGGCGTATGATTTTCTAAAGGTTTTTTTGAATCGTTTTCAAAATAGGGGATTATGGGGCGGAAGGCCCACTCGTCAGTGTGTTGTTTTGGACATTGTCCTATAATATTCAAAATACACTCCATTTTGAACAATATTTTTTAAAAAGGAAATACTATGCAACTCCTGTAACAAGTGTCGCATGCTTCCACACAAGTCTCCCCCACGTTGCACTCTCTTTCTGAGCCTCTCACACACCACACATGCCACATGTGCCAAGACACGAGAAGTCAATATAAGGTGTTATGTGTGTCGATTTTGATCATATTTGTGCTCATGTATTCTAAGTGGGTAATATTGTGTGACGGTTATCTATAACATGTATGAATTCTATGTTGCATATCTATCAGGCATGTCATGTACTCATACCATGTGGAAGAATATGAGATTTTAAGCCTCGATCAAACATCGTTGATACACGTAGCATAAACTATAGACTTACTTGTATTTAAGATGGTGCTGCTAAAATATTTGATGATACTTATTGTTGATTTTTCGCGTCAACACTTATATATACCATCATGATACTTCCAATTAGTACCACCGTAAAACTTTATGATACTTATTATTGATATTTCGCGTCAACACTTTATGATACCCTGTAATTAGTACCTCCGTAAAACTTAGCGACGACATGATACTCATGACATTTCTAGGTTAGGACCGTTAGAAAAAAAAACGTGAAACTCACAAGCTGCTAGAGCTCAACTCGTCACAGGCTCAACTAGTCAAAGATCTAAATCGAGTCGTTTGAGCTTATCTCAAAGCTTGCGAGCTCTACCAACCCGAGCTTAAGCTATTTAACGGAGGCTTGAAATTTTCGCTAGCTTACTCTCAATCTGCCCACCCAAATTCCACTGGCACTCCAAATTTAATTTCCACCATATGCCTATGATTCCACAGACCCAGCAACTTCTAAATTTCCTTCCACATCCCGTATTCTCATCGTATCAAAAACCTAGCTCGATAGCTCTCGTCCTAAACAATGTTGGTATCCAAGATTCACAATTCCAGGTTTCTCCTCTGCTTTAGATCTAGTTGTTCTTCGTCTCCTCCATGTGATCTACATGAAGACCATCATAGAAGATTGCAGTAGTCTATGACATTGCTTTTGGACGGTACATATTTAGGAATTTCCAGTAACTATAGCTTTTGTTCTTAGCAGCCTGTGACTACTTCTTATCGTTAATTTTTGTCCTATGTACTTCTGTTAAGTCAAGGGCACATGGTACTGTAACGTTATTTATCCACTCTTGTTATGAAAGTGAAATCCTGACAGAAGTCACTGTTGCAAAATAAAGTTTACACTATTCAAAGAAAATAGTGTTAACAAGCTTTATACGAAACAAACTTGAGTCAAGTCGATTCTTGATCGGGTTCGAACCTATCCTATTTTTGAGTTTGAAGGTCATTCTGAGCTCGGCTCAAGTCTACACCAAACTTAAGTTCAGCTCATTGACAATTTGACATGCCATCATCTTAAGGTATCATAAAATTATGATCGGTGACATGCCATCTATGCCAGCATCAGTGATTTTTTATAAGTATCATCGGTGATATGAAATACCGTTAATATCTATAGATACTACTTCCTTTATCCCAAAATAAATATATACTTTTAAATTAGAGAAGTACACTTCTTTTGAGAACAAAAGAAGAACTGTACTCCACTAACGATAAGTTTCCTTCCTACAAGGAAAATCAACATTAATTCATCGAGAAAATCTATTCTATACCACTGAGTTTGTTCGAGTTCAATGATTTACCATCGACATTGTCTCCTTCTATAATATACCGATAACTTTATTAATTGTTCTACAATACGCCAATGGGCTGGGCTTTCTTTTCAAAAATACCCAAAATACCCTTAGAGACATACAAGATTAACAATTGATTTATCTCATTAGAAGTTTCAAAAAATAATAAAAAATTTTATGTGGCCTCGTTACACAACATGGAAGTTTGTGTACATGTTTTTAAGTTTTTTCTGGTATATTTAGATTTTAAAAAAAAATAATATTTTTATGTGGTATATGAGAGAAAATTTGTTTATACGAGAGATAATAACGCAAAAATATCTTATGTAGTGTATGAAAGATGATTTATATTAAAAACATCAATAAAATGTATTTTGTATAGCATATAACAAATGAGTTATATATTGTTTAAAAAAATTATAAATGTAAAAAACTTGAAACTTCTATACAAACTTCCATGTTGTGTAAGTAGGCCATATAATTTTTTTATATTTTTTTTGAAACTTCTAATAGGATAAATCAATTGGTAACCTTGTATGTCCATAAAGGTATTTTGGGTATTTTTGAAAATAGTGTCCAACCCAATGACGTATTATAGAATAATTGATAAAGTCAGTAGTATATTATAGAAGGAGACAATATTAATGACAAATTATTAAACTTGAACAAAATCAGTGGTACAAAATAGATTCTCTCTAATTCATCCGATCCTGATCCAACAACCGAGGTTCATCAGATCAACTCGCCGCTCGCAGCCGTCCCAGCCAGACCCAAACCGACCCGAGTCCGATTTCAGCCTTCAGGTCAGGCCGCACCATATAAGGGTCTCAGCGCCGGCCGCGCGCCGCACCGGCATCTCGTTCCCCCACCCCCCACCCATGTCGGACGCCTACAAGAAAGCGAAGCCCGGCCGCCTCGTCTTCAAGGGCGGCGAGGCCGCCTCCCTCCACAAGCCGCCGAAGAAGCACAAGAAGAACAAGAAGCCCGCCTCCGACGCCCCCGCCGACGCCGAAGCCGACGCGGAAGGCGCAGCGGCGCCCTCCGCGGAGGGCGCCGCCGAGGGCGGCGGCGACGAGTACACCATCGACGCGGCGAAGCGGATGAAGTACGAGGATCTATTCCCCGTGGAGTCGAAGAAGTTCGGGTACGACCCCGCCAACGCCGCCAAGGCCTCCCGCAGCCGCACCGTGGAGGAGGCCCTCGACGACCGCGTGCGCAAGAAGGCCGACCGATACTGCAAGTGAGGTGAGAGCCCTTAGAAGCTAGGGTTTCCGGCTCCACGGAGCCCGGCGTTCGATGCTTTGCTCTAGTCGGATCTAGCTCCGGATTCAATTCCAATCGAGTTCTCTCGACTTATTGTACTGCCGCCACACATGAATTTGCTTGAATTAGCTTGAATGGTGGAGTGGGTTATGTTTGATCGCCGAATTCTGGTTTATACACTGTGGAATATGAAGACGTGCTGTAACTGCAACTAACTGATGATTAATGTGTAACGCGGTCTAGTTGCAATGTTCCTATTAGTCGTAGCAAAGCTGTATCGTGTGCATTATAATCCAGAATTATCGAAATTGCTGGCAAATTCAATATATGGACCGACCAATTCTTTGTATAGATTAATCAAAAGCGAATATTAGGGAAGGACCTAATATCAAATAAATAGAAGGAGTGAAGCTTCGAACCCAGGCTGGCTAGTCCACCACCTTGTGGAGCTAGCCCGAAGATCCCTGGGTGCTTCTCTGTATAGATTAATCACAAAAGTGACTTATTTTGTATTGGGTCCCTACTCAGTGTAATATAGGAACCTATTGATAAGATTAGAGATAGGAGAAAGTCATAACTTGCTAGTTTCTGACCCCTATGATACTGTTTCTGTGCTCTTAAGTTGGTTTTTATTGCTATTTTGTTTTGATAGTCTTTGAACTGAGTTAGTGTTAGTGGTCTATAATCACAATCACAACAACTTTGGTCAGGTCGCTCATATAGACAGCATACATAGTTGTTAGATCGATAAGTTTATATGGTGGATGAAGGTTTCTTATGTCATCTTTATATATCATGGGTTTCTGAGACACCTGCTGCTGCTGTATACCTTTCTTCCTTTTGGGTGTTGTATTTGTTTGATTGCAGAGGCTGTTGATTCAACATTGATGCAGTTTTTTTTTTTGCTTCGCTTTAAGTTAATATTTCAACTAGTAATTTTGTTTTCCCTCCTAGGTCCGTCCCCTCTTTAGCTGTCTCTCTGTCTCTTAACTCTATTATTCCTTAAACACACAATCATTTTTTCCCTCCTCCTTAGAAAGTGTGTTGGCTAGATTGTATAGTTCAGATATTGTTTTGTATTAGCTTATCTGTTGTTCATCATTTGTTCTGTTGTATGCAAAAAAAGCATCATATGGCTCGGAAAAAGTGTGTGTATCTCTACTCACTGTTGAGATCACATTGAATGTAGCTTAATATATTTTCCTACTTAACAGGTGATTCACTCATGCGAGTTGTTCACAGTTCTTATGGATGCAGGAGAGTAATTGTGCTCATTGTATCAGAAAGGACATACAATTGATATAGGGTCCAGAATTCCTGATGGCATGTTGTAAATCAAGCTAGTTTAGTGAGTATTTCCTTACTAGCGAACGGAAGGGTGCTCTTGTTCACTCACTCTCACCTGTTTTGGTTAATTAGATAAAACACTATATGCTTGGTCTCTGTGTTGTTAAATTTGCATTTAATCCAGTTATAAGCCTGTCAACAGGCTGCAGTGGTGTACTGTATTCTTTCTTTTGTGCGACTATTTTTTGTTTTCACCTGCATTGTCCACAGTTATGATGTGATGGGACACCCTATGTCATACAGGCACTTTTTATAGCTCTATGTGCGAGTTTATGGTGCTGTGATAATCCTTCTTCTGGTGCTATGTAGCATTGGACAGAGTTGGAACCACCATATCCATGAATGCAATTTTCCTATTAGTACTATGATTCTTGTGGCAACATGCATAAATATATTTTTGTGCATCATTTAAAACTTTTTGGTACAATGAGTGCTTCCCTGCTTTAAATCAGGTAACTGGCAGGAGTCTGAATAGCATCTCAAAATCTCTTTGCAGAATGACAGAATATAAACTGCATATATTCCATATGTTATTTTTGCTAGTAAAATGTGATTCTGCTTCCTCCTATAGTATTTTCCCCATCTTATGCTACCATGGTCTTTTCCCCATCTCAATAAGCCAGTTTTTATTTTGGTTTTGTTTGTTTACTACTGCTGGTAAACAATGGGTTCCATGGAGCAAATTTATGCTTTCTGTTCTCATCTTGCTTTGAATTCATCTGTCGATTTTCAAGATCAGTTGACATGATTATTCTTTTCAGGCGAAAATTCATTATTCTGTTTTCACTTTATTAACTTATTATGTCAGAATGCTATTTCCATCTACCGTGGTAATGCAATTTGGAATAGTATTGACAGCTTTGTCCTGATCCTGATAGTAATATTGGTTGTTCCACTTGGAATAATGCTAAATTATCATAGTACAAAATAGATTCTACTCCAATTTCACTTTTACAATGAGACCATGGGTATCTGATATGTACATGAATTATCCTACCATGACTTTTCCTGGACTTATCTTGTATTCTTCAGAAAACAAGCAGTTTATGCATTACGCTTGTCCTTTTGCAGCTCTGCCTTTTGACAGAAGACGTGGTAGGATTGTAGATCCTGGATCCTACTATATCCAGGTTACATTTTTCTCTACTTTATTTATAGCTATATATCTGGCCTTTATTATTTGTGTGCTTTTGCTCAAGAAAGTAGTAATATTCAAACCGAAAGTAAGAGAATCATATATGCTTCTTAATGCGGTTCAAAATGATTACTGGCCATAGGTTTTCAGTCACAGTTTAACTCCAGCTAAAAAATCAGAACCACAGAACACAAAAACATAGCTGCAACTTCCCTGATACATCACTGTACTACGGCTTGGTTTTGTTCTTACAGTTGGAAATTTGTGTAGTAATTGTAACGCTTTCCTTTAAGCATTTCTAATCTGCTCAATGCATTTGACTCGAACAGTGTGAGCATGTACCATGTCACATCAGAGGGAAACAAATGATTTTGAGTATGAAACTTTCCTCCCTCCCATTTTAACTCTTCCACTGAAGAATAGACACATCATGAGAAATTCCGTAGAGTTTCGGTTCTCCCTCCATCCCATTGTTTATGATGGAAGTGCAACTTTTCATCAGTCATTCTAGGTCTCCAGCCCTCCACCAACCTGTGATCGTCACTTGTCTGTACGAAGCGTCTATATTATTCATCTTTCTCTATGGCCTTGTCCCTACTCTCTAGTGTTTGACACGGAAGATGTCAGCATAGAGTAAACAAATGGTTTGCTCCTCTTGTTGCTCATTTTAGTCCACACAGAGCTCTTGACATGCTTTACCTCTTATTATCCTCTGTTAGAATAAGCAGAACGCATGCTTATCTACCGTGCTGTACTGCTGTGTTTCATTATCCTTTTGAAAAGGCTGGAAAGGCCACTATGGATGCGCTTGAGACACTTTCTATGCAACATTTAAGCTGATATGCAACGTAGCATCATTTGTTGCCAGAAATAAAATTTTGAAAGCAAAATCTCCTTCCAAAAGGGGTCATAAGTTTGATAAGCTGCTAAGCAAATACCTAATGAAAAACAGGGTGGTGTGATTGTCCCTTTCATAATGCTGTTGTTGGTACTCTGTTTCAGGTTATAAGACTTTCTAGTATTGTCCACATTTATATAGATGTTAATGAATCTAGATACATATATATGTTTAGATTCATTAACATATATATGAACGTGGACAAAGCTAGAAAGTCTTATAATATGAAACGGATGAAGTACCTTTTTACATACTCTGTTATCAGGATTACATATCCACAAACCTAGTGAATACTGAATACAGATCAGGCTGCGTTCGGCAGATGCTGATTGAGAGAAGATTTCTCTTATTCTCCGCCCGCATGTTTTCTGAACTAAACGTTATTTTTTTTTGCAAAAAAAGAGGAAAGTTCTTTTAAAAAATCATATTAATCTATTTTTGAAAATTGAAATAGTTAATATTTAGTTAATTATGTACGGATGGTTTATCTTGTTTTTGTGTATATTCTCTTTTTCTCCCCTCTCGTACACAGCCAATAAGAGTGCTCCCGAGTCCCTACTCCCCTCGGACAGTCCAACCTCTTGATTCAATCTGGTAGGATAAAACCATGTTTGGTCCTTAGTACTTACTACCTCCGTATTTTAGTGTATGATGCCGTTGACTTTTTATCCAACGTTTGACCATTCGTTTTATTCAAAAAATTTATGTAATTATCATTTATTTTATTATGACTTGATTCATCATCAAATATTCTTTAAGCATAACATAAATATTTTCATATTTGCACAAAAATTTTAAATAAAACGGATGGTCAAACGTTGGTCAAAAAGTCAACGGCGTCATATATTAAAATATGGAGAGAGTACAAATTAGAAATTTGGAACAAAGGCTAGTCGCTACCTCATCAGCATCAGTTACAGCTTCACGACTCCTTCACCACTTAAGTAATTGATTTTCTGGCGCGATTAAGAGCTTGGTATATAGTCCAGTTGGGTTTAGTTTGTACCAAAATTTAGGTTTCTACCGAGAAACTGAAACATCTCAAAGTGCTCACGTCATGCCGACGCAGGCATATCATCCCCGATCAGAAACCCCCACCACCGTCTACAAAAATGGCCACTTCGATTTTGGTCCACCACCATAGGAATATAGGATACACGCATGCACGGGTGTGCACTGCACCCAGCTGCATATCGTCGTATATTTCATAACCCGAGAAGCACCCGGAGCCACGGGCTGGTCGCTGCAGCTTCTCCTCCACTTCACCAACCAGCCGCGGCGTGCGGGGAAACTCATCGGATCATACAGATGCATGCACTCTTTGCCGTCGCCCGTGACACAGCCTTCTCATCGTCGCCGGCGGCCGACGAGCACCTCCCCAACGAGCACCCAGGCGGTCACCTCTGGAACCAGAGCGTCCTGTGAGTATATGCACATCTAAACAACACTTTGATTCTCGTATTATTATTATTCAGTTAAGTTACAATTGACAAGTCAGACGAGACGTGCAATGCATGTTTTCAGTAGCAGGGAAGAAGAGCATGGGAGCAACGACGACAGCTTCAGGGAGAGCCTCGTTTCTTTGCTTGACAACACGAGAGACTACGTGATGGCTCCCGAAGTGTTCGAGGGCGTCCCCGTGGCATGCGACTACCTCAAGGGGATGGACAGCGACGGCATGGCCGCATCAGCTGTCGCCGCCTATAGCCTGGACAACAACGGCCAGCACGCTAGTGTTAGTTCAATCGAGCATGGCATCGCTAGCTCGCCGCTGCTGGCGTACCAGCTGGGGAAGAACAGCGCTGTGGTGCAACGGAGCATCCAGCAGCAGGAGGTTGGATCTCCCATGGCCGCATTTCTGCAGCAACTGATTCCCACTAGTGTTCTCGATCAGTCTGGTATAGGGTTTGGGGGAGTTTGTCTGGACGGCTCAGCACTGGAGGCTTCGTTTTGCATGAGAACTTCTCCGGACGTCAGCTCTTTCAGTGGCCACAGGTCAGCAACCGCAGAAGAATTGATGTCTACAGACACAAGGGAGCAAGAAATTACACGGCTGGTAAGACTGAACAATTGTAATGTATCCTCAAATAAGTAGAAACCGGTGTGAAAAAACCTTACATGTACAATTCTTGCAGGCAAGATCTTGTAGTAGCAGTGGAAGTGATCGTAACAAGAAGAAACTATCAGAGGTAAGAGGAGGAGGCAAAGCGAAGAAGTTCAAGTCAGAGACTTCACATAGTACATCTTCTCCCAAGGTAACTAACAATGACAAAATAGTGGATTGACTTTGCAAATCGTTCTGAGGAGTTGGCATTTGAAGAACTTGTTTCGAAACCACACGCAGCATCAATCACCCAAAGTGAAGCTGGGGGAGAAGATCACGGCTTTGCAGCAGATTGTGTCACCTTTCGGGAAGGTATGACCGTATGAGATCATTAAACGCACACTTTATGCTTCCAAACTAATGTAAGAAGCAAAAGTATTTTCTCTTCTTCAATTTTGGCCGTTAATCATTACATATTTCATTTTAACAGACGGATACAGCGTCTGTTCTGTTGGAAACCATAACCTACATCAAATTTCTTCATGAACAAATACAGGTGACACCGTCAGCACAATCCTTTTTTGCTGTTTTGCACATGCCCCCTGTGTGTTTTGTCTCAGATCGAAGTTTCTATAAAGTAGTACGGAGTAGAAGATACTGCCATGAGCACTGCAGCTGAGCGATTCACTGTATCGAGATATATGGATCGTTCATCGTTGCACCGACTACTTCAACCTTTTGCCTTATTTCAGATTACGCATTTGGGCATTTGGTATATTGACCTCTTGCTTTGTGCCTTTTGCCAGTGGACCTCCAAGTCATGTCCAAGTTTAGTATGTCGTTTTCGTGACACTAAAGAACATAAAGAAAGTACATTTGTACTGGCACAACTATTACTGATTTGCCAACCTTTTCTGAACCTAATAAGTCATGCTCCCACAGAGATAAGCTGACGAATAACCCTTCTATTTTTCTGATTTGGTGCAGTTATTCAGCCAACCGTATATGACAAACAGCACAAACAAGGTAGTTTTTCCTATTAAAACGATGTATTGCAAATTCTAAAAGCACAGCGAGGCCAGGACTGAATGACGGAGCATATACATTTACCACCATCTTTTCTTCAGGGTCATATTCACTGGGGAGGGGAAGGGAAGAGGAAGGCAGGTCTGGAGCATGATTTGAGGGGCAGAGGGCTTTGCTTGGTCCCTGTTTCCTGGACCTCTCAAGAATACTGTGATAGCATCCTGCCGGAGTGCTGGGCTCCGGCGTACAGGAACTACTTTTACCGATGAGCCCCATACACATTAGACAGCTCACAGCCTTGTCTCACTTACTGCCCGTGCAACGGCTACGTTGGGAAGATTTACTGTTTACTTACTCTATGTTTTTCAGTCCCCATGTTATATGTATTGCTGAGTTTGTAGCCTAGAACGAATAAAAAGAGTGAAGTGTATAGGCGGTCTCTAAACTTATAAGAGTGTCATATCTAGGTCCCTGAACTCTTAAAATGTATTTTAGGTTTTTGAACTTGTACTGCGTGTCATATATGTCCAAATGGATCCCATCTCATTCCATGTATTGATGTGGCATGCCACGGTGGTGCATCCATGTAGTGGAACTACATGACAGTCATATAGAAAAAAAAAATATAACGCCACCATGTAGTGGAACTATATGACAGTCATATAGAAAAAATATATAAATTAGTAGAGATTAGAAAATATGTTTTTTATTTCTTAAAAAATAAAATTAACATTAAAAAAGAGAAGCGATAGAGAGGGAGAGAGAGGGAGAGAGAGAGAGAGAGAGGAGAAAATGATGCTTTATTTTTTTCTATATATGACTAAGGGCAAGTGCTATAATGCTTCATGTGCTGTCTCTAAAAATGACACATAGGATTGGGTGATGAGGTGGAGAGAGAAGTGAGGAGAGATATGATGAACCACCCCTAAATCAAGAGGTAGCCTCCACAAACTCTAAGAAAAAAGTGAGAGTACTAAAGGCATTGATATTTGTGTATTAGGGGTGACCTGTTGTATATCTTACATCTTAATTTATTGGTGAATGCCATAAATAATTTTAGAGGTAGCAATCACATCTATTATAGTACTTGCCCTAACATGTGGATCCCACTAATATGTACTTCCTCCGTTTCATATTATAAGACTTTCTAGCATTGCCCACATTCATATATATGTTAGTGGGTTTGAGGTTATTTGGACCTATATGATATATCTATAAAAGTTTAAGAACTGATAATGCATTTCAACAAAAAAAAAGTTTTTGAAAGAGTGGTATTTGAGAATGCGGCATCCGAGAGAGTGGTATAAAGTCCAAAATTCCGGTTTAAAGTGGGTTAGAGTTAATTTCTATACTTTTTAGCAAAAGAAAAAAAATTAAGAACTTGATAAGATTGTAAAAGAAGCCACCTGCTACCACCCCTAGCTGCAGCACGTGCCACGGCAATATCTATTCCGTAGCCACGGTTACACGAGACGGAGCCATTTTACTTCCATCTATACGACGCAACGTCATGCCATGGACGATGCAGCGGTGCTTCAGTCGAGATCATCTCAACGAGCGCTTGGGCTCGATCGCCGCAGGATTGCGCCCATCCGAGCGTGGGCGCCAGGCCGGCCTGGCGCCTTGGCGCCCTGGCCCCACGAGCGCAACGATCGACGGATGACATGCACGCGCGGGTCGAGGGAGGAAGGCTGCCGCGTGAAACACCACACAACTCACGGTACCATGCCACGCACGATACGTGTGCGGACGGGGGCGCGAGTCAGCCCGCGTGGTGGATGTCCCGCCTTAGGCCATTCACAGTACAAGTTAGTTATGGGACCTGTAACCCTAGTCTAAAAAGTTGGTTCAAAGACATCATCTCACAGTGCAAATATCTGTGTGGGTTAATTGGATAAAAGTAGTATGGGAGGTAACTGACACCACAGTGGGCGTGATCTCGGGCTTGTGGAAAATAATTTCCCCACCTACCCTCGTCTTCTCCTCGCCCTCCCCTCCTCCATCGCTTTCTCCCCCTCCCGGTCGCCCTTCCCGTCGCCTCCTCCCCGTCTGGCGTCGGCTCCGCCCGTCCTCCCCGTCCGGCGCCGGCTCCGCTCCTCCTCGCCGCGCCGCACCGCTTCTCCTCGCCTCGCCGCGCCTCCTCTCGTCTCGCGTCTTGTGCGGCGGCGGCTGTTGCTGCTGCTCCGGCGGCGGCGAGTTGCGGCGGGCGTCGGGCGGCGGCGCGGGCCCTGGATTCGGCCACCACCACCGGCCTCGCCGCCGCCCGCTGCGGAGATGGAGAAGAGGCGGGTTGCGCGGACTCGGGAGCGGCGGGGGCGGCGGGAGTGGACGACGCGACGCCGACGGTGGACGCCTCCTCTTCTCTGATGCTCCGGCCATCTCTCCTCTCTCTTCTCGTCGTCCCTGCAACCCTCCTCAGCCAAAGAACCACAAGAGAGCTCAGGTAGCAAGCAGATAGAACGGGTCAAGGTAGCTTCAGAATCAAGAAGAAGAAGAAGAGGTGAGATTTTTATTTTGATTTTTATTTTCTCTCTGTTTGTTTTGCTTTTGGCGTGGTTCTTGTTTCCCCAATCGAGAGCCTCACCCCCTCAAGAGGCTCATGGATGTGAGGAGAAATCAAAGGCCAAAAGAAGAAGGAGTTGTTTTTGTGTGATTTGATTCCTCTTTGCTGCAGGGAAGGAGAAGGAGGAGCAAGAGCAAGCCATGGAGGAGCCGGCGACGGTCGGGAGGGCGCGGCCGAGGAGGTAGTAGGCGGCGCAGAGTGCCACGATGGCAGCCATGGCGGGAAGCGTGACGATTTTTTTTTATCTGTGATGATTTTTCTTCCTTTTTTCTTTTTCATCTTGTTGAGTCCGATCTGTGATAATTGTTGAGTCCGATCTATGATGACTTCAATTTCTTCCTCGGCTTTCACTTCTCCAGCCTTCTCTTCTTCCTGGTCTTCTCCACCACAACACTTCTCGAGGGCGAATCGGGGATTTCTTCCGGGGGAATCGGCGCGAGGGCACGGGGCAGCGAAGAAACGCTGCCCACAGCGCGCGTGCCTCTGCGTGCTCCTCTGCCCCGCGCCTCGGTTTCTTGCCGCGCGTGGGTTGCGAGAGAAGGAACCGCGCGCCTCAGTTAGGGGGCGAGGTGCTCTGGTTGGGCGCGCTCTCGCTCCACGTATGCACGAATCCGACGTGGAGGGGTGTAACACCGGTCCAGCTCACCGCACTGTGACCAGCCTTAGAGCAGGTACAATAGCAGACTATTAGCTAGCTATAAACATATTTTAATGAGATAAAAGATGAGAGAGAAGTGCAGCGGGCTACAGATCTGTAGCCAGCTGCATCATATACTTCAAAACGCAGTGTGTGTATGACAGGTGGGAACATATATTAATAGTATAGTAAGCAACTATTGTATGAATTGACTATTAGATTGGCTATAGATGAATTGGAGTTAGTAGTGGATTATACTACTCCCTTCGTCCCAAAATAAGTGCAGTTTTAGCACTCTTCATGTCTAACATTTGACCGTTCGTCTTATTTAAAAAAGATTATGATTATTATTTTTATTATTACTAGATGATAAAATATGAATAGTACTTTACGTGTGGCTAATTTTTTTAAATATTTTTTATAATTTTTTTAAATAAATAAGACGGATGGTTGAAACGCTAAACATAAATATTTATGGCTACACTTATTCTAGGAAGGATATAGTGTTAAACAAACTTGCTCTTACCTCGCCGTCAACTTTTCCCAAGAAATGGAATGCATCAGTGTCCGCGCCACGCGGTGAAAAACCATGCATCCACAGTGGCCGGACCCCCTTGTGCTGGCGAGGGCGTGGGGCCTATGAACCTGAGGCGGATCAAATTTTTTTTATTTATAATTTTTTTTATTAAAAGTTTTACAAAAATAATTTTCCATTTTGAAAATTGACGGAAGTAGTCGCCTACCGCCCTTTGGGAGGGCGATTTTTAAAAATCGCCCTCCCAGAGGGCGGCGAAAATGACGTGGCAGCCGGCCGTTCGCTCTCGGGCGACGGCCGTCAACGAAATTTGCAGGCGGCCCCCTTGCCGCCCTCCGCTAGGGCGATTTTATACTGTGCGGGGGGCCGCCTGCAAATGGGCGGCGAGGGGGGGCATAGAATTTTGCAGGCGGCCCCCTTGCCGCCCTGGGGGAGGGCGATTTTGTACTGTGGGGGGGGCCGCCTGCAAATGGGCGGCGAGGGGGCATGGAATTTTGCAGGCGGCCCCCTTGCCGTCCTGGGGGAGGGCGATTTTATACTGTGCTCTATATTTTTGTATAAATATCAATAGTTATAAAATCTTTTTATATTGAAAACTATACAAGATTAAAATCTCCAAGACTGGTAAAATACAATTTTATTATTTTTTAGGGCATATTTGGATTGTTACCGTACAAATATTTTGTTAGTGCCAAAATATAAGCAAGTTTTGGCACTACCAAATATTTGGTAAGGTAAAATTGCATTTGATCATATTTGGTTTGCTGCCAAAATGTAAAATTGTAGTGAAGAATGTTCTACATAATCTCAAATTTAGATTACGTATTAACAATGAATAGGCTTCCATTTTCGTGTGTGGTGTGCTAGTGGGAAAGAAGATATGAAGAGGTTGCCTTCAGATTGTCAATTATATAGCGTCGTTTTCACTGCAATATATGTGAACTCAATGAGATACATTATTCATTAGATGTGACAAGACGATCACGCGTGGGCGTGATTCACTTTATGTCAACAGGCAGCACCGAAAGTTGATAGTGATAACTCGAGCTGCCGCTTTTCATGTGTGCTGTTGTGGACTGTGCGCGCTACTGGATCTGACACTACCGTGAAGCACCGAAAGTGTGTTGTCGTGAGCATAAGTTGTTCTAGCACCATATGAATGAAAAGAACTATGTAGACGAGACAAACACAAGTAGTACTGCAGTAGTAATAGCAAAAGTAGTACTGCTTTACAAGTTTGTAAGCCAAAAGAAACGGTCACATAAGGACTGAAGAGGTAGAACACTACTGACGAGGCCTCTTACCCCTGTCCCTCCTACCCTGCGCCCTAATGTGCCCCTGGGAGTACGTGAGTCGGTCCAGGGGTACGGCACGGCCAACCCGTCCTGCCTGTACAGGTGTGACCTCTGGCTGCTCCTGAGTGTGCGCCTCTGGAGCTCCTCCAAGCTGAGAGGAGCCTAGTACGTCGTGGTGGTGTGCACCGTGCAAGTCGTCGTCGTAGAACTGGCTAGTAGGACCAGTCCTACCGGCGTGAGACAAAGAGGCCCCAGTACCGAAGATCCCGGCTGCAAATCCTGCTGGACAAGGACCATCAGTTTCGTACAAGTATTTAACAGTAGTAATAAAAAGTAAAGTACCGTGTGGGCGAGGGATCGACGCTCCGTGAGAGGAAGAGCTGGCGAACGCGCCCGAAGAGGTGGCGAACGCCCCTGCGGAGCTCGCGGAAGCGCCGGTCGTGCCTGCGAACGCGCTCGAAGGCAGACGAGGTCCTGCGATGAGGAAACGTGCAGTTAAAACATGGTGACATATTCGTGCAAAAGCTGAAACAAAAATGAACTAATATCTGGGCTGAACTGTACCGTGCGAAACCGGTGCTGTAGGTCGCACTGCTCCGAAGCTAGGGGCGCTCGAAGGCAAACGAGGTCCTGCGAGGATGGAACATCAAGTTACGACGGGGTGATGTTTTCGTAGAAAAACAGAAACAAAACTTAAGAAACCTCTGGGCTGAGCAGTACCGTGCGAAACAGGTGCCGTAGGTCGAGGTCCTGCTCCGACGGTAGGCGCGCGAGGCCGTGGTTGTACCGGACCAGCTGGAGGTACGACGTCCACGGCGCTGCGACAGGAGAAGACGCGCATGACCGCACGCATCTTCTCCTGCATCCGGTCGAAGGTCACCCTCTGCTCAACGTCAGTCAAGTGCAAACCTCTGTTCAACCTCACTTGGACTGCGGTGATATCGGCACTGATATCCCGTGCGGCATCAGCCTATGCAAGATGGAAATAAAAAATTTAGTAGTTGTCCTATATTATGCAAGATAAATGAAATAATTGTAAGAAGTAATACAAATTGGACGTACCGCCACGAAGTAGTCTCGGTCACGGTGCGTGGGATACGCGTCCGTGACAGCGGCAACGTGCGGCTCTGGGGCGTCTGGAGTGAAGGTCACACGCGCACGAGTACGAGGAAGGTACCAGCGAAGGTACTCACGGTAGTTCTCCTCCGTGTGTGGGAAGAGCTCGTTGATCACCTCCTCTGTAGCTAACACCCAGTCGTCAACGTACTGCTGTACACGTGGAGCCCAAAGTGCGCCTGCTAGCTGTCCCCGTCGAGTCAACCTATGAAGAGAGGTAAATTATATGGCTCGATGAAGTAATTATCATAAAAATTTAAAAATGAACAATCCGAACTCACGAGTGGTCGGCAGGGAGGACGGTCGGCTGCACGTTGCCCGGAAACACCTGCCTAAGTCCGAACTGTCTCATCACACGCTGCGGGCAGTGAGGCTCAACGAAAATGTCAAACACCATCGGCAGGATGGTGAGCCAGTAAGCCTGGTCGCGTGTGCACAAGGACGAAAGTCCTAGCGGTGCTCTTGCAGCGACGGCCTCTTCTGTGTACGGCTCCCAGATGACGTCGCTCGGCTGGAGACGGTCAAACTCGAACACGAAGTCCGGGTAACCACGTCTCACCTGGACGTGAGCGTAACGACGCTGCAATAAACATGATCGGAATTAGACATGTTATGTGAAGAAAAAAAAGAAGACGACTGATAAACTTATAACGCAGCGAAGTTGCACTAACCCCACGTCGACACCAGTAAGTCCCCATCATGGGACCGTCCTCTGGCCACTGCGCGCTGCGACCAACCCCGTAGGGTGCGCTGTCCACCACTGGTCGACCTATGGCAAACCTCTCGGCTGCCCAAAGCTGAAGCAACATAGGGCAGCCAGCGATGATCGCTCCCGCGTCAGTCTTCGTGCACGCCTCACAGAGGGCACGGTACGTGGCTGCTAGCATGGCAGAACCCCAGCTCCACTGCGGCACGTCCTGTGGCTGAGCATCCGCGATGGACCGTGCGTAGTGGACCAGCCGGAAGTCCACAGCGTGCCCGTGGGTGCTAGTGAACATCACCCACCCGAACAACCACAACAGGTACGCCTCAAGGGAGCGTCAGACCGAGTAATCATCAGCGTCAGGGTGCAGAAGGTCCGCCTACAATTAAGAATGAAATGTTAGTACAAAACACTCATCCGGTCGCAAATAAGCATGTATGATAATAACAACTTATTTACTTACAGTGAACTGGAGCAACCAAGCCTTGCTAGGCCCGACTGTAGAGTACGGAGGAAGGGTGTTGGTCGGTCCTAGGTGTGGAAGGCGCATCACCTGCTCGAAGCGCGCAGTGATATCCTCCTTCCACCCAAAAACACCGTCCACGGGACCAACTGGTGCTCCCGCCAGCGGTAGCCCGAGCAGGTACGACACGTCCTGCAGTGTCGGAGCCATCTCCCCACAGGGAAGGTGGAACGTGTGCGTCTCAGGTCTCCAGCGGTCTACAAGAGCGGCAAGGAGTGACCGGTCTGCATCCCACCGCTTCGCTGGGTCACGGTCGTCCGCCGCCGCCTCAACAAGCCGACAAAGTGGTAGAAGGCCTGCCGCACGCAACCTGTATAGAGCAAACTTCAAACATAAGTACAACACAAAGCAAAGTTGAGTTGAAATGTGAACATACGCGTACCAAGGAACGTGACGGGGGTCGACACGCAACCACTCGCGCGACGTGCGTGGACGGAAGGTGCCGAGCTGTGCACCCTCGACTGCTGACATGAACGAGCGGTGGTTCCTGTCAATCCCACGGTTCAACAGCGCCGGTGTGTCGTACG